TTCCATGTTCTTTACCATTCCTTCATTCCCTTTCCATATTCCCTCCAGTCCTTCATGCCCAACGAAAAACCTGTAACTTTACCAAGGTGACTAGGCAAAGGCCTTCGCAATCTGAGACAGGAGTTTCTCGGCTTGAAACTAGCCCGCGACTCTCAAAGCTTGGGCTCAGGGTTTTAGACTTCATTTTCAGGTTCGTGTCTCTCCACACTTGGGCACTCTACTTTCACGACGTAGTAGGTCTCTTGCAAACCACAGACTTTGTGGCAAAAAGACCATAGATGCCTAGCAGCACAGTCTCAAAAGTCAAGGCTGCCCGCAAGATGTCGGGATCAATGCTGTGGACAAGGAAGCCTACAACTTACCTCTGGTTAGCAGGGAATGAAGCAATGTAAAAGATATCAAAGCTACTATAAGGCTATACGGATCCGGTCCTTCATTCCTTGCCAACCAGAGGTGAGACAAGCAATCCGGATTTACACCTTAGGCCTGGCTGCCAAAGGTCATCAAGGAGCAGCCGAAATATTGAGGGCATTCTCTCGTGACCCTGCATGCCCTGTGCCCAGCACGGGGAAAGGAAGACTATGCTCATCTAGTTGGCTCATGGCTTGTTAGATAGCATCTGATCGAGTATGCACATTACATGCAACTGCTGTACACTGCTCATTGCTGAGGGGTTCTGCCCCAAAAGTATCATACTCAGCTTGAACAGGCGTGAGCTCAACATGTCTGTCTTCCACTTCCAGAAATAGGAAGGAATTCGAGAACAGAGGATCCACCTCTTTCATGTCATCTTCTGATGAACATCCTGGAGGTGCCGCGGAGATGTCACGGTTTGGGGGGGAGGGAAGCGCCAGACTTCACTAATCCTACTGGTGCTTAAGGGAGTTTGGGGGAGTGGATCCTTATAATAACCCCTACAAAAACATATATACCCTTATTATAATAATCTGTATATTTAATCCTCATGTTCAGTCCCCCACTCCCCCTTGAGCACCAGGAAGTAATTCCCATTCTATCATCTCCGTCACCACCCAGGCTCAGTAAGCTGGCTGACGTGCGCGCGTGGCTCGTGACAACTCGTCAGAGAACGCCAATCAAGTGTAGGGGCCTAGATAATTTGGATATACTATGGTTCTAGATTCCTTTTATAATCATAGTAAAGGGAACCTCAAGTAGATTTCACCATGATAGTGGTAATTCTTCTGGATAATCCCTATTATATGGCCTGATGTAAACCCAGTTTCCATCCGTTTCCATGTTCTGTTGCATTTGATGCTCCGTGACTGGTCATTACTTCTGCCCCTAAACCCTACACACACACATATATATATATATGTATATACATGATTCCACATATATATATATATGTATATATATGAATATGCATCCATAGATGCCCCTGCTACTCATCTAGGCCCCTATAATACGGCTTCTGCTAGCTCTTCCAACGAGGACAGTGCCAGATTGCTCGCAGGACCAACGACTTGTACACTGCCGGAGAACCTAAGGGTATATAGAGTTTTATAGGATATGTAGGGTTATATGAGCCACTGTCAGTATGGATATTAGTCTTATTAAGGGACCCTAAAGGATGGGCATAGGGGTCTCTCTTGTAGTTTAGTAGAGTCGCTAATATATTCCTTTAAGAAGGAACCCATGTCAATCAAGTTGTGTAGAAATATTGATTGTAGCTCATATACGGTTAAACCGGGATATGTAGGCTTTTAGAGGGATATATAAGCTGCCAGGATTGGACCAGATCTGCTGCTTTGGTTCCGCCTTCATGTGAGAACCTGGAATACTTGCATGTAGCAGGACGTTCTAGAGTAGAGGTAAGGTTGCAAAATGCTCGTCAGAGACTCACTTTCGATGCCGTTGTCCTGAGATTTCATCATGGTCTTTGCGCCCTTGCTTGGGGTCAAGGGTTGGATGCCCCAAGCGATACGCTGCGGCTGCAGGGAAAAGTATGCGGGCTGGGGTCAGGTTTGCAATGCATGGTGTATCCCAATCAGGCTTCCTGTATGAAGGTCCAAGGAGGGATCTCAGTACTTCAAGGTACGTGATGGGCCTGAGAGGGATTTTCGAGATGTAGCAGCCAAACATATCATGTGGCGTGCGTTCTTCACAGATCGTCAGCGGATCTCCCGTTGGCAGTAATCTCATGTTGCAACCAGACAGCCTTAACAACGTCTACATCATACTGCGTGTCCAAACCAACTTTGGCGGCCCTGCACGGGCAGAATTTGCAAGCGCCTGTTTTGGGATAGTATGCTGAGCACGTGTTTCTGCATGCTGGAAGGTAGTGACACCAAATGCCCGCAATTCCTGCGCCTAAAGCCCAAGTTACGACAGTCAAGCATCAACGCTTTAACGCCGGCCCAAAACTTGGGTAGTTCCCAAAATTAGGGTCCCATTTTGACACCGCTTAATATTAGGTGCCGTAATATATTCTACAACCAAAAGTGTCCCATAATTTTGGGAACAACCCACTTGTAGGATCATTTAGGAAGGGGAGCTCACGGGGCATAGGGTCCAACTGTGAGTTTCCCACCTACTTGTCACATCCGGTGTCGCCCCAAGCCCTAAGACCCTAGAGATCCTAGGAAGATTCTCTGCTCTCGCTGAGAGTGTATGGAATCCTCCTGAAGCTTCCACGAAAAATCAGCTGTCCCTGTTCGGAATGTCCTTAGAAGTAGGAGAACAATGTGTTTTGGTATGTAAAGGGGACCCTCAGACTCATGTCTATATAACCCCTATATAATCCCAATATAACCCCTATATAATCCCTATATAGCATCCCTAGATAACCCGTATATAATCCCAATGAATCATGTTTAGAGTGACCTTCCGAAGTTTGCCCCTAAACCCTAAACCCTAAACCCCCTAAACCCAAGGTCCTTGAGGTCCTGGAGCGAGGCAAAGGCCGGGATTTCGGACGTTTTGGCATCGCGATGCGAGAACGACATTACATGGGTGGTTGTCAAAATTGTGGTCCCTTTTTGGGTACCCTAAATATTAGGTGCCGTATTATAGTAGGGATCCAAAAAGGGCCTATAATTTTGACAACCACCCACATGATTGAAGTCGATTTGGGGGAAGAGTAGTGCATGGTTATTTCAGGCACTGTCAGAGGAAATAGTATCAATTGTTCAGCTTCTTATGGGAATCTGGATGGCATTGGCGGCATCTTTGTTCCTGTCTTTTGGGTAATCCGCGTTGAGGCTCAGCATTGCAAGCTTCGTTCCTGTGAATCTCCCCTGTTCACTCCCCTGAAAATGAATTTGACCTTCAATCCTTAACTTGCAGAGTTCCCCCATACACACCACCAGCAGCACCGCAACATGTGAGCCATAGTCTAAACTCCTTAAAGGGTGTTATATAGGGGATTATATAGGGAACTACTATAGGGGTTATTAAGGGGGATACTAGGAGTTTAGACTATAGCTCATGTGTTCAGCATCACAGTAGCAAAACGGGATGGCTCCTCATTCCCAGATCGCCAAGCTGTAATGCCAAGACAAAGAGGCGACAACGCTGCCCCAAGCAAGCACACTTGCTTCTTAATGTACTTATTGAGTTAAATATTCTTGGATATAGCGAGATTCTACGTAAGCGCTGAATCCTGGGCCTCAAGCCCGAACCCTGAACCCAGTTATCCGCATCTACGCGCATGAGCTCACTACTTCCGTGGCCTAAGCCCTAAACCCTAAATAGTAGTTTCCATTTTAGTTTCTATTATCCCAAAATGGCCCCAATATAACCTATTGCCCCTCTGAGCCCACTACTTCCGTCGCTCAGGCCTGCGATATCATTTTCACTACCGGCGGCACGGGCTTCGGACCTCGCGATGTGACTCCAGAGGCACCAAAGCATTCCAGGGTTTGGGGATTTTAGGTGCGGCTCAAGATGCGTGTCATACGGTAGTTTCCCTAAATAGGGGAAACCCAACTAACCCAATATAGACCCCGAAATACCATAATCCTGATTATAGGGACCCCACCAATAATGTATTCCTAATTTTGGGAAACCCCATATCATTCCCGATAGGGATTCCCATGTTCCCTTTACAATCGCTATGTATCCTGGGGTCACCTTGGGCCCCTAAGCGTACCAGATTTGATACATTCAAAAACTGCCAGTTGAAAGAAGCAAGATTTTTTGAGGTATGCGGAGGGTATGTAAGGGGCCCCCCTAACTTTGTGAAATGCTTGGCTAGGAGTTGAAGATGGATTTGTGCGGTTTAGGGTTTAGGACTTAGGGTTTGGTAGAAATTCTTCATGGATACGTTAGTCACAGACGTAGGAAGCTTGGAGTGCCGTAACGATGAAGGAAAATTCGGGTTTTGTACATGTTGTGGTTTCCAAAAATTAGGGATACCTTTTTGGGGGCCTCCGTAATGAGGACTATAGTATTTTGGTGTCTAGATTGGGGTCACCTTATTTATGGAAACTACCATGTATCTTTGCAAGAGTCTCCCATTAAAGTAACAGGCAAATTGCAGCATGGTCACCCCTGACTCCAAATGAGGGCCCAGATCCAATTAAGCATTGAGAGCCACAAGAAACCCCTTCATTTCTCACTCGTTGGGCCCTCAATTGCTGTGAGAAGCCGCTTACTGCTTGAGTGCGTGGCTGGCTTAATCAGGGAGTATTATCTGTCCAGTGGTGCCCTGGCGGTCGGCGCGCATTCTAGCATTGGTATTTCCCATGCTGTCAGGCATTGCCTTGCAGCATTTTCAGCCCAGCAAGCCTTGAACAAGGGCTTCCCAAGGTTCCATGTTAGTTTGGAGGGGTAGCGGTTGGGTTTAGTTTCGAAGTCGACCCCGCTGCAATCCTTAGTTTAGTATCCCCAGGGTCCCTAGAGGGCCCCCCAAAAATCCCATCCAAAACCTTCAATTACCCTAAACCCACAACATCTCATCGAAAAGCCCCCAACGGCAGAGGCCACCAGCCGGGCCATCGCCCGGCGGGCTGAGGGCCTGGCACGGGCTATGGACGGGATCCCCAGACGCCTTCTGAATATATGAGCTGCCGTCAGTTACCACAATGGGTATATATATATATGTATATATATAGTAATTAATATGGCCTCCCCAGTATCGTAACTTCACTTAAGTTCTTTAGAAACAACCCAGTCAAAGGGCGGCAAGCCGAAAACAGTAAGCTCTTGGCAGAGGCCTGGCCTTGAAGCAGTCACGGTGCAATTTGGACAATTATTATTTGTACCATTACTATTACTATTACTATTACTATTACTAGTATTACTGCTATTACTATTATCACTACTATTGCAATTAGTATTGCCGTGTTTACTACTTACTACTACTACTACTACTACTACTACTACTACTACTAGTACTACTACTACTACTACCACCACTACTACTACTACTACTACTGCTGTTACGATGATTATTGATGGTACAACTTGATTCCCTGTTAATAGGGAATAAGGGAGTGTAGGGGTATGATGTAGGGTTATGTAGGGATAATGGACAAGAACATGGAAACTGCCACTTTGGGTTTAGGGTCTAGGGTGGCGGTGGAGGTTGGCTGAGAGTTTTATGCGAAGGTGTCGTTAGTTTGAGCTTTGCATTTCCCCTAAACCCTAAACCCTAGCACAATTTTTCCTTCGGCCCGTGCACTGATCCAACAGGATTTGCTTACAACAGCAGTTATCACATTGCGGTACTAGGAGTTATGATCGCCCTTTCGTAAGCCCCCCTAAAAGGACAGTTACTGTGAGAAGTAATTGCCCAGCCCTATCTCCGCAACCCTTTGGCTACTTCACGTCCCAACTCCCCACAGGCTTGTCGGCCAATGTTAGAATAGCGGCCCACAGTGTGGGCATTGGCTTGTGCTGCAGGGTTCTAGGGGTTTGGGAGCATGATGCATGGGGTTCATAGTAAAAGTATAGGAACCCCAACAAACGCTCATATTCACTTCATGCTCATACTTACAATGTGAGAATGCAAACGCCTGGCTTAAACCTACCCCTAGACCCAAGGCCGCACACCTCAATCCACTTGCCCTAAACCCTACCCCTCACCCCCGTAATATTAGATATTCCTTATGCATGATGGTGTACCATCGCGAGAATGTTTCATTTTAGGCTGGGGGCCTCCCATCCGCGGGGCTTGCTCAACTGATCAGGGGGAGGGTGTTCGTTTGGTTGTTTTCCACAAGGACCCACACTAAATACCCCAGAAGCTCCTTTAGCTGCTAGAGGCATGGCAGACATCGCCGGGCCTGCTTGTTTGGGCCCTGAGCCTGGGGTTTAGAGAGCTTAAGAGCTTAGAGCTGCTGATGCAGAGAGGCTTGTCTCAAAAGAGCTTAGGTCAGAACAGTTCGTAGCTGCAAAGCTTTGAGTTTGGCAGTTCAGGGCATTTTTCTAGACGTTACGGTCCGCGGGTTCAGAGATTGCAAGTTCGGGATTTGGTAGTTTCCCGAAGTTGAGGGACTCCCTCATAGACCGTAAGATGCTATAATCCGTACGGGGTCCCTCTCAAAAGGTCCCCCGAATTTGGGGAAACCCTGTCTGGAGAGCTTGGCGTTGATCCTTTCAAGGACTGTGATCAAGCTTGGGGAGATGTAATGAAAAGTTTTCATTTCCTGGCCATAAATGGTCGTTTGTGGATCCCCAAGTTTAGGGTCTCCTGAAAGCATTTCTCTTGTTACAACGGATTTTCGCAATGGCAAGTGATTACGTCAGCTCAGTGCTCGGTTTGCCAAGCAGGAGATTACCAACATAACCCCCTTAAAACAATACTATAATATGCCTCAAGCCCCAAATGTAATCATGTACGCCCCCCCCACATCACCCTTATCCAAGTCCTGCGCTGTGCCAGGTTCCAGGAACCTCGCAGCATACTCTCGCGTGGCATTTGTGGCATCACCAGCGAGAAGGCTGGGAAGTATTCACAATTACGCATAAGATTTTTTATTTGTAGGATGTTGGGTGGGATGTACTCCTGTTAAGGGCTTGTAGTTTAAGCCAGACTTGGATTGCAACTAGGGTGGAGCTAGGAGATTCAGCACCATCCTGCACGGTAATTCAGAAATGCAGTGGATGATTACCCCTGTGGCGAGAAGAGCTCTCTGGTGGGTTTTGGGGGGGTTCAGCAGCTAGGCCAAAGTTGAATACAGATTTTTACTTCAGTAAAACTAAAGACGGACTATGAAACACACAATCCCTGTGAAGCCCTTGTTTCGATCTCAGTTTCCATATTCTTCTTATTTGCTTCCATTATTAGTTTCTCCATTTTCAGTTCTAGTGCTTCCTTCCCTGTCGTCTTCAGTAGTAACCCTAAACCCTGAACCATCCCAATCCTTAATCCCTCAACCAATAGTACCCCCAGAGCCAGTCAGCAGTGCAGCACCAGGTCTTGGTCGTTAACCTCCCCGGGCATCCGAATGCAGCAGCTCGCTGGGAAATATATGAGTTTCCAGCAATGAGGACCCCTTTCAAGGGCACATAGGGGCTGCTTCGGGATTCATAGAGTTTAAGGCTTTGGCTTGCCAAAGTTGGTGCTCTCTCCTGGAAGCACTAGAACCATGGGCTTTAGGTTTGCTCGCATATTGAGCAGTTCAAGCCAAGAACAAGCGAAATGTGATCGGTTCGGTTCGGTTCCTTGAGCAGTTTCTTTCTGCTTGCTCCAGCGTACGGGGTCACGGACTTGACATTTTTGGGCACCCACCCAAACAGCACAGAGCAAGGCAGCGAGAACCAATTTCTAACAAAGAACGTTCACAGGTTCACTCGAACAGCAAAGAGAGAGGCAGGGAGAGCATGCGAGCGCACTCTCTCTTTTCCCTGCCCTGGCGTGGGGTCGAGCAGGCTTCTCGGAACTAAGCAAAACTTCGATCCTTCTCGGATCCGTTCTGAGATATGACGGTGGCGAACGCCTTCACGACGAACAAATTCCGCTGAGCTTTCGCAGCTTCCAAAAAAAAGAGATCTCTTCCCGAGACCTAGTAGCAGAAAGACCACCCAGGCCCGCCAGGCCGCACTACGCCCAAGAGCCTTCACGAACTCGCACTTTGACAGGTCTGCAGGCCAGCAGCGACGCCCTTAAAAACCACGACTTTTCTGTGAAACTGGCCCTGAAACGCGTGAAAATCATGACTCCTTTTCTAGATCCCCTAAACCTTCAACCTCGAAGTCCAGCTCTAACTTCCAGTTTGTGTGGAGATTGGGATCCCGGTTACGATTTGATTCGATTCGTGGATTTGCTGTTGATTCTTCGTTGTTCGTTTCCTGAGTCCCCTGCTGGTTCGCAAGTTATGCAAGTTTCCTGCTACAATCAAGATTCCAGAATACTGTGGTCTACATTGGGACCTCCTATTACTTAAAGCGAGGGGTCAGGCATTCTACAGGATCTCCGAAATATTGAAATTCGTGGACTCTAGGACATGATCACGACGGTGGCTGTTGATATTGCCTATTCTGAAACCCTAAACCTCTAAACCCTAAGCTGTAACCCACCCAGAGCCCGAGCTACAGAACGCTGGGTTGCGGTCAGGTAACTTTTTTGGTTTAATTACTGTATATCCATATGCTGGGAACCCAGTTTAAGGGCTTTATCAGCAGCCCAGAGTGCTTAATAGCGGAACATGGGACCATGTGGGATTGAGATTCTTGGTAAGGTATCAGCGAAGACTTCTCAAAGCATCTGGACATTGTAATGGTTTCTATCTAGATTCGGAGATTCGATTTCCATGGAGTCGTGATATGGCTCAACACCCCATAGGGCTCATCTCTTAGCCATCTCCAGAAAGAGACCCTTCATAGAGATCCCCCAGAATCGCTGCCTGCAGTCCCTACACCTCTTCTGTCACGTCTTCTGTATGTAACCCCCATAGATCTGCACCAAGAATAAACTACTAACTCGGAACTCATAGCTGTCGCTACACTACTTCTAACCGCAGCTATACCCAGGTTCGGCAGTGCCTTGCAGTTCTTCTTCCCGTGCTGCCACATGCAGTGCGGATGGCTGGCAACCCAAATGTTTTGTTCTTTGAATTTCCTCTGTAGACTCCTCCATAGCGGTCCCCGCAAGTACCGAGTCCCCGTATATCGAGACTTGAGGGTGCATGGAACTCATCAACATCTCCCTAACGCAACTTCTACAGGTCAATTGTAAGTCTGGTTCTGATTGAATATCGTTGTAAGTAGTCATCAGGTCCAATGAACTCTAAGGGTCCCAAAGGATACCCCTGTGTTGGGACACCCCGAGACCTGCAAGGTGTCAGGTACCCGTGAGGGTGGCTTAATGCTCATCACTGGCTATGGTCCTTATGAAATACATAGATGGACTGATTTTGAGAGATGCCCTTGTGAAGGTCAAGGCTGTAAGCAGCCCAGCCGGCAGTAATCAGGTTGCAGTATTGAACGAAGATACATCGCGTGTAAAACAAGCTCAGAAGTCGTCACATTAACAATTGCAACAGACGAATCAACGTAGAAACCGAAAACCCCTAACCCTAAACTAGAAAGAAATTTTGTTCGGTGAGAACACGTGGAAAGGCCTGCAACCTGTAAGCACGAGGCTTACGAAATCTTGGCATGTTCTGCTTTTCTTCAAGGCTTAACAGGTATCATCCACGAAGGACGGCCATCTGCAAAGCATACACCTTTCTCAGACTTGTCCACTGTGCATTTGTTTGGAAGTACTCATGCTGAGGTCGGGACATGAGACCCCGCGAGCAGGACCTTGTTGTGTCGAAACAGGTGCTACTCCAAATCGTGCTTCATCCCTTGCAGGCAAATCTTCAAACGGGATGAGCTTTCCTGCATTTTCTTTAGCGCAGATCTAATACCGTATATTTAGGGGGGTTTGGGAGTGAGAGCGCCAAAGCGGCAGTCGGCATGATGTGGGCTTGTGGATATTCAGCCCGCAATTTTCCGGGTTGATTTCAACTAGCTACTCCGTCTTTGATACGCCGATAGCCCAAGGAGAGAGAATCAAAAACAAGAAGAGACCGCAACGAGATCTCCAGCAGGTCAATGACAATACCAATCTAGTTTCCGCCCAAAGCTAGAATACAAATACGCACAAATATCCTCCCTGTTTCACGTGTCCTTTCAATATGATATTCATCGGAATTGTAGGGGGGGGCACGCGACCAAAATTTCCGAGGCTTTTGGTCATACCTCTCCGACCCTCAGATTTCAGAGATTTTGAAGCTTCTGCCTTTTCCGAATTGCTGCAACAGTTAGGGAGCCCGCCAGAGGCATGCTAATGGAGAATCAAAAAAGCTAGGCCCATCCGCGCGATCATTTCGCTCGCGCGCGGCCTAGGTTTTCCGGCTCGCTTTAAAATGCCTCCTGCGGGCTCCCTAGGGGCTCTAAAATCTCGGAGATTTTAGAGCCCTTGGAAAAGCTAGAGGCTCTAAAATCTCCGAGATATTTGGTGCGGCCGGCGCGACCAAAAATCTCGGAGATTTTTGGTCGCACGGCCTTGCCTTCGGAGCGGCTTTCCGCGTGATTTATCTCTCTTTGGCTTCCTGCACGGTTGCTCGGCGGAGCGCATAGACCCGCCGCAGATAGCCCAAGAGAGATAAATGAGGCGGAAAGATCGGGCTGGCTACGGAGGCCGCGCGATCAAAGGGCCGCGTGACCAAAATCTCCCAAGATTTCGAGCTCTTTCTGTCTCTTTGGCTGTTTGCAGGAACGTGAAGACCCGTGGCGGGTATCTAAAATCTTTCAGAATCTATTAGGCCGTTTTTGGTCACATGCGGTCTTATATATTGATTGTTCGTCGGTATTCACGTGCGATCTTAGATGTTCTGCGTGATTTTTCTCTCTTTGATTGTCGGCGCGGATCTTCGGAGGAGCGCGTAGATCCGGGATGGAGAACCTAAATCTTTCAGAATTTATAAATTGGTCGTGTCTGCTCACGGAGATTCATGCGCTCCCACGAGCTGTTGCGCACATAGCCCAAGAGATAAATGAGGCAGAAAGACCGGGCTGCATGCCGGGGGGGCGCGCGATCAAGGTGCTGCGTGACCAAATATCTCCCAAGATTTCAGATTCTTTCTATCTCTTTGGCTATCTGCGCGGCGGCTCAATAGAATGCGAAGATCCGCGACGGAGATCTAACAGCTTTCAGAATCCTTATGCTACGCGCGGTTTAATATATTAATAGTTCATCGGGCTTCACGTGCGATCTTGTATATTATTTGGTCATCGGATTTCTCGTTAAGGATTTTCTCAAATGAATATTTTCCGTAGCTATAGGCAACCGGACCAACTCTACTAATTATGTATATATAATTATATATATATATATTTTGGCGAGCGAAAATTATTGGGTCCTTGTTGTTTCGCGTGCCGAACTCAATGGCCCTGGTCTAAAACCATTGGGCCTTGCGGAACGATTCATTTGAAAGTTTACAAGTATCGCTATTGAAGGATATATATTTGATACAAATAGCGAGGTACGCTGGATTTGAAATGATTTTTAGAATATGGCCTCTACTGATATGAAACACTGAGCAGTCTATGATTTTCATTTGATATATAAAATAGATTTAGATATGAAGCCCTTTAGAATCTTGATTTCGTATTGATGATTGCAACAGGCGTGAGGATTTTTACGTGCGTATCTGCGACTACTTTTCGTATATTGAATATTATGAGTCGCCAGTGAAGGATTTTTTTTGCGTAGACTGTGCTATAGTGCTATAGGGATTCGGTTTTGGGATGCAAAATTTCGCTATGAAATAAGGCGCTGTACATTGCGAATTCTTTTTATTCTGTTAGAAATATCTAAAATATCATGATATTCTGATTTCAAGGGAATCTCATATAAATAGATTCTATAATATATCACTCGTTTTCCGTATAATGACTGCTCTCAATAATGAAATGCGGGCGTCCGTAGCCTTGGTTCTTTTGGCTGGAATTTTAGGCTATCGTTCTAAATCTCCGCTTTTAGAGGCAAGATTAATGTAGTATTTTGCGGAATATATTAAATATGACTATGCGATGCCTATGCGCGCAAATTGGTATAAGGGCGATAAATTGGAGCATCCAAAGTTGAATTCGTAGCATTGAGATATTTTTATAGTTGCATCCGATTTTCATCGATAGGATTTAATTTATTTCGGGTCGGATTTCGAAATCGAAATCTATTTATTTGGGGATAATTTTGATGAAGACGAATATATTTCACGATCGAAATTATCATATATCTCATTTTATTTAGGCGATAATTTCTAAAATAATGAGTCGTCGAATTTAAAATTTTCTAAAATTAGGGATAATGATTCATTTCCTATTTTTATTTAATGCAAATATAATTCTATTATAAGAATACGCTATATTAAATTAGATGATCTTATATCTATTAATATCTTATATCTTATTTCAAAATTAATATTTAGAATCAAATTTGAATAGATTTCAAAAATATATTTTTTGAAATCTTCTTAATTATTATAGCGAAATTAGAATATTTTTTCGATAAGATTAATCATTAAATTAAATATTCATTTCTCATTTTCATATAGCTCAATATATATTTCAATAATACGTTCTGATTATTGCGACCGTTTTATTCGCGCGCGACCTAGCTTTCCGATTCTCTTTTTTTAAAAGATTCCTATGGGCCTCCTAGGAGCTTCGAGATTTTTGGCGCGGGCTACGCGACCAAAAATCTGGAAGATTTCTCGGATGCGGCTCTTGCTTCGGGAGCGGGTTTCCGCCGGATTTATCTCTCTTTGACTATCTGCGAGACTATTCGAGATCTAGGATAGAGAATCCCTTGCCGAATTTATAGATTGGTCGTATCTATCTATGGGGATTTATGAATGCCCCGGTTCGTCGCGCAGATTATCTAAGAGAGATAAATGAGGCGGAAAATTTGGGTCGGCTGCGGGGGTTGTGCGAGCGAGCAAAAATCTTTCGAGATTTCGAATCATTTCTCTCTCTTTGATTATCTGCGTGGCGGCTTGGCGGAATATATAGATCCGGGATGGAGATCTAAAGAGATCTAAAATCTTTCAGGATCTATAGATTGGTCGTTTTTTATCACGTACAATCTTATATATTGATTATTCATTAGATATCATCTAATCTTATTTGATCTACGTGATTTATTTCTTTGGCTATCTGAGTGGCTATTCGACGGAGTGTATAGACCCAGGACGGAAAATCTAAATCTTTCAATTTTATAGATTGATAATATCTATCTATGAAGATTTATATGATCTCCCGAATCGTTATATAGAAATTCTAAGAGAGATAAAAGAGGCAGAAAGATCGGGTCAGAAATCGGGGTTGTGCGACCAAAGATCTCCCGAGATTTCAAATCATTTCTCTTTTTTGATTATCTGTACGATTCGGGGGAATGCATCCGAAGCAGAGATCCAAGATCTTTCAGAATCTATAATTTGGTGATTTTTATTATATACGGTCTTATATATTGATTATTCATCGATATTCATATGCGATCTTATATGATATTTGATCATCGATTTTTCATTATAGATCTTTTCATATGAATATATTTCGTTGTTATAGGCAATCTATCAATTCAAAGATCAAATATTAGAAAGATATCAGAATCTTATATATATAGTATAATAAAGAAATTAGAGAATCATCTCTATATATATTATAATTTTCAAAGAAAATTTAATAGAATATTCTATATATGAATTAATTGAAAATTTCTCAAATGATAAATATGAATATTAAAAATATCTATATCAAAAAAATATATATCTATGATTTATAAAAGTATATAATTCATATAGATTCATTTTTTTTTTTTTT